CGCATAAGGACTTTGGATTCACTGAATACTTTCACTGTATGTGCTTTGCCACTAAAATATAAACTCTAAAAGTATAGGAAGTTTTTCTTACCACGGATTAAGTCCTGGGGATTATGTGCTTAAGCAGTGCCAGACACATAATGGCTATTCTAGAAATATATATAAATAAAAAATATTTCACTATCTATAAATAAAGAAAAGGGTGAGTAATTTGAAACACCCTAAAAATGTAAATAACTATTTCAAAATCCCATTTAAAACCTCAAAGTTATTTTTTTCTTTTTGCAGAAGTTTTAATAAAATGTAAAATAATGTGGAGAGATAAATTATGGTACATTCCAAGCTTAAATTTTGACCTTTAAAATGACTGGTATTATAAAATACAATAATTGATTATATTCTTTATTTAAATAACTGGAAAAATATTATAAAATAATATTTCCCTTCCATTGTAAATTTTTACCAAACTAAGCAGCTTCCAACAGCATTCATTTGTATCTGAAATAAAATTCATGAACCATTGTTTTTTCCAAATACTATTTTTTAATACATTTTTCAGTTGGCTAACATTCTGTTGACTTCCTAATATATACCAAACACTAAACACATACTGTGATATAAAGATAAATTATGCTTAGTTCTTGCCAGTTTACCTGACCATGGCAAAGACAGACATGAAATCAATAATCATAATACCACGGGAAAGTTTAAGGGTGTGTACTTAGAGATAAAGGTGACAGGACAATTAAATGTGATAAGGAAGTCTGGGGACACATCCAGAGGACAGCACATCTTTTATGCTATAGTCACTATAAGATCTATCACAACAAAATAAGAAAAAAAATGCATCCAATCTGCCACAAGTTTTTCCTTTTCTTCTTCTTTCTCTCTGATTTCTGCTTAAATAAAACATCAAGATGGGCTATTGGTTGCACTTTTTTTTTCTGTGCCAATATCCTGGATACACATTATTAAATACACTTTTTTAACCACTGCAATATAAATGCTAAAGTATTTATATGAATTCCACAAATGTTAACTATTAATTATTACTCAATGTTATTCATTTTGACTCTTTTTAATATCTAAATCATATGAACCACACTATTTTCAAATTTCCTCAGCTGTTGAGTATCAGTGATTCAAGCCTGATATGTTAAACTTGACATCACCAAAGTCCTATAAAAAGAATGTATTAGTCTAAGTAAAGTTGATTCTCTTAGCCCACTCAGTATGAAACAAACATTCTTTAAATCATTTTACCTTTGACTATTGAACATCCAGTCCTCTGTAACCAAGGAAACAGGTTTCAGTTCCCAGTTTAACAGACAGAAGACAATTATCTGCCTGTGGTGTGGGCCTGTCCTCAGCACCTTTCTTCTCAGCTAATGCAACCCACTCCTTCACCTTTCCTTAACTTCTTTGTGCCCATGGCTTATATCAAAACTCTCTTCTGCCACATTTTATCAATGTTCTACTTGTGAGACTTCCTAATATGAAGCTACACACAATAATGAACCTTCTTGAATATTTGAGGCAGACTCTAACATGCAGACTGTAGAAAATATATGTTATATAATCTAGCAACAATGAATGTCTTTTAAAAACAACAATGATAATACTTTGGTGTTAAAACAACTGGAAAGACTGACTTCAGAGGAATGCAGAAATCTAAGCCTCTCCAGCTCAGGATAGCTCCAGAAATTTCAGTCAAGCTATTGACTGGGGCTGCTGTCACATAAAGGCTTGAACTACAGCTCTAAGGTGTGCTTCTAAACTTAAGCACTGCTGTTGGCAATAGGTCTCACTGATTTACCACAATACCTTCTCTACAGGATTGCTCAAGACATGGCAGCTACCTCCGACAAAGTGAATGATTCAAGAGAAGCATGAACAGAAAGTGAGTGTACACACCCAAGATAAATTTCATGGTCTTTTATAACCTAATTTCAGAAATGACCTAGGCATTCCTCATAGCATCTTGGATATGGTCTTGAAGAAAACTACACAAGAATTTCAAATCCAAAAGGCAAGATCTTAAGGGCCAAAGTGGAGACTGGCTATCTCAGGACAGCTGTGAGGATGAGATAAGTTAATATATGTAGAATTATATCTGGCTGATAATATAAGTTATGTAAGTTTTATATACACACCATAATTGCCATTATCAGATTTAGAGCTAAGATATAATTCACTAACAGTTAAGATGGTGGGAAAGCCCAAAAAATCTTTTCATTGCTTCAAATGGCCTATAATATAGGAAACTATAATCTTAGTATTACTATTATTTATGGGACTTAACCATGTTATTAAATATTTTCTCCCTCCATTCCTCATCTTGAAACTAGGGTACTGTGATTAAAACAAAATCTGTATTATCCCTTCAATTTAAGTATATAATGACTCCACCATTTTCCACTTGCTCGGCCTAATATTTCAAGACTCAGCAAAGAGGAAAAATACATTTCTTCCCTATATTGCTCAAAACTTTTAAAAATATATTTTTAGTTGTAGTTGGACATAATAACTTTATTTTAATCACTTATTTAGTTTTTTAAGTGGTGCAGAATATCGAACCCAGTGCCTCACATGTGCTAGGTAAGTGCTCTACCACTGAGCAACAACCCCAGCCCAACTGAGCCACAACCCTGGCCCTAAAAACTTTTAATGAAATGGTCAACTTATCATTTTCAAGCCTCTCTTAAAATCACTGCCTTTAAGATTTCTTTTTAAGCAACATCAGAAAGAATCTACAGGTTCTTTTCTGGATTTTGCATATAGAAATATATTTTCAGTTAGGTTTCCTTCTAAGAGAACTTTCACTTTTCCCAGTAGAGAACAATTTCCATTATAACTTCCTTACTCTTCTTGAATATTTATTTATCCTCATCTATTAAGCTCATCCTAAGCATCACCCATAAACATTATTTGCATATTCATTTTTACAGTCTTGAGATTTCTTCTCCAGTAAATTAATATACAATCTTCAACCACTTCTACTGCAATCCACTGTAGATGTTACCAGAATCAGCAAACTGTAAATATATCCTTATACTTTCAGTTAAGCTCTGCTACAGACAATAAATAAGATTTCCAAATAATTCAACATTAATTCTTACTCTATAGTTTGCTGATACTAACAATACACAGTTGAATTAATTAAAATATATTCTTATGAGAATGAGACACGTGGTAATAGAACATTTTATTTTATTCTTAAAATGCAAATCCATCAGCTGGGCACTGTGGCACATGCCTATAATCCCAGTGGCTTAGGAGGCTGAGACAGAAGGATTTTGAGTTCAAAGGCAGCCTCAGCAACCTTGAGGTGCTAAGCAACTCAGTGAGACTCTGTTTCTAAATAAAATGCAAAATAGGGCTGGGGATGTGGCTTAGTGGTTGAGTGTTGCTAAGTTCAATACCCAGTACAGAAAAAAAAAAAAAAAGTAAGTCCATCACCTGGGTTAACTGGAAGTACTTATATATAAGTGGCTTTCAAAGAATCCATTCAATATCTTAGAAAAGGTAGCTTTTAGAATAAAATAGTATTTGATTCCTTAAAACCATTGAAGATTAGATTTCCAAAGCTTCCATCTATTTACTAACTGCAATGTAATTCCAAAAATGATATTGATATGGAGATGGACAAATAAAAACAGAAAAACACTTTTGGCACATTTTCTTAGTCCCAATTATTATTTAGATAATAATAATTTAATATAAACATTCAAATCGTCATTGCTTTTCATTCATGTTGTTGCAATTGAGTATTCCTGATCAAAGGGTGAGTGAGAATCCACTGCTAGAGCTCAGTCGTATAGCCATGTTTAGTGCAAGGAAAATGGAACAGAATAATCTTGCAGCATTCTTAGAAAAGGGGGGAAAAGGGTTGCTCATGAACTATGGTACTATCTATGCTAATTCATATAACTTAAAGGGACTTCAATAATATTCTAACTTTTACTTTACTGAGGACTCTGGAAAGTAGAAGAATGAAGTAGCTTACCAAAAGCCAACAATATGGTTAATGTTGAACCATACTTTCCTACTTTCTGACTGATATTATTCCATTCACTCCATTTACAGTAGACCTTAAGGACATATCTCCAGCCACTCTAAATCATCAACTACAGAGTCTGCCTCACTGTACTAATCTCATGTCCACCAAACAAGACTACCATCATCATAAGCAGACCTAAAACCTATTGCTGATAAGTCAGAAAATTCACTTAGAATTAGAAGGTCCTTTGAGGGACAATAAATTATCTTTAAGAATCTGATGCAAAAAATGAGGACAAATGTTATCAAAAGAAATGAAGGTCTGGGGCTGTAGCTCAGTGGTAGAGCTCTTGCCTCACACATGTGAGGCATTGGGTTTGATCCTCAGCACCACATAAAAATAAACACATAAAAAAGATATTGTGTTGATTTACAATTAAAAAAATATTTTTTTAAAAAGAAATGAATATCAACTTATAAGTATAGCATTACAAGAAACCTCAAACAAATCTGATTGGTTTGATTTTTTTTCCCCCCTTGGAACTGGGGATTGAACCCAGGAGTTTCTAAATTCTGAGCCATATCCACAGTCCTTTTTAATTTTGTTGTTTTTTATTTTGAGACAGGGTCTTGCTAAGTTTCCTAGGGCCCCACCAAGTTGCTGAGGCTGGCTTTGAACGTACTTGTTATCCTCCTGCCTCAGCCTCCCCAACCACTTGGATTATAGACATGTGCCACTTCATCTGGCTGGTTTTCTTTTTAAAATAACTTAATCTAATTAGGAGATGAGTGCTTACGTACTGTATTCAATTAAGTCATTTGGACTAACAGTATTACTTTGGGCATTTGTTCATTCTCAATGCTTATGCAACTTTACTTTCCCTAGAGATAACAAAATACCACTGACCATACAACAGATACACTTGCAGAAACACATGCTACCTTTTCCATTTCTTTGATTTCCCAGATCATCATTTAATAAATGTAGCCACACTGCATACCCTAATGTCTTTGCCAGGGACTTCAATGAATCATGTGGCAGAGAGATTCTCCAATGTGTCACTCCAGCAATTCTGTTACGGCTTGGAGAATTGCCTCATAATGTCCCTCTGTGATGTAATTCCACAGGACAATTTCCACTTGTGCATTTCTAGGGCCTGTGTGCAGCAGGCAACACAATGGTACAATAAAATCTGCTTTGTCTACAAAATAATAAGCACCCAGATTAGGATCTATTTTAACTGGATTTTAAGGAATTTATAATGCCTATTTTCAGGTACTCTATGCTTCTACATTATCCTGTGAGTAGCTATCAAAGAGTTTACCAGGAACATAATGCCAGCTGAGTCTCTGACAGTGATGAAAAACACATATGCTACAACAAAAGCAATTGAAAATTGGCCTTGTTTCCACAAACTAAAACTTGCAGGATTCTAATGTCACTAAGTACATTATCATGAAACAATTTTAAAGAAACTGTTGTCACAGTTCTCCCAAAGCAGATGTCCACTAAATTCATTTCACAATTTCTTGAATTTGGTTATTTTTTTTTCAGCATCTGATGGAAGGAGATTGTGTGTGATATATAAATAGAACATGCTGACACTTTCGAAGTAATTACTTTTTGAAAGATAGTTATTACATAAACAATTGATTACACTGCTAAGTGCTTATAAATACCTCATAAAACAAACTGAATATAAGCAATCATATTATCTACAAGCAACAACTGATATAATTAAATTTACTATGATGGTACAAGATCATCTTTAGCAACTGCACACTGATTGAATGGAAGCAGTCTAACTATTGAAGGAACTCATCAAGAATTAAAATTTATCTTGGGTCCAACAAATGTATTAGCTTATTTATAATGCAGGAAGAAAGCAAAACCAAGAAACAAATTATACACATATACACACACACACACACACACATATTTGTAGAGTTATTTCAATTGTATAACTCAAACTGTGCTAGCATTTGTTTGAAATAAAAGTTCACCGAAGAAAAACAAACTAAGCCATAAATAGATGTGATCTGTACATGGAATCAGTAATTGAGTCACTTCATTTAATTTTAAATGGCTAATGAAGTAATAGAAGCTTATATTCTGAGAAACTGAGGATGTCATATAATGAAAGTAAGAATCTTTGTTCAACAATGTCTGACACTTTGGACCACCTACCTGGTTTCCCTCTCAATTTGGGGACAAAGCCATTCTTTAAATATATTCATTCATTTATTTGGTAAATAGTTATTGAGCATCTAGTATATTCCAACCATGGTATTAAACTTTAGAAATATAAATAGAAATATTGCAAGGTCCTTGCCCTCAAGGAGTTCACAGAGTGATTAGATAAAGACAGATGTGTACGTGAACAGTTTTAATAAGGCAATAAAGGAACTCTGAAAGAAGTCTGGGTATTCCTCAATGTTGAAACAAAACTAAGGCATGAATTCCTTTGGAGCGGGGGAGACTCTGGTAGGGAGAAAAGTTACCTGGAAGGAGCCATATGCAGGATGAGCAGACATTTTTCATCTGCCAGAGAAGGAAAAGTTGTCCCAAAGAAAGGAAACTACATTAACAAGCTACATTGGCAAAGGGGGAAGATATTAATTCGCCAAGGTTAATGCAGAGTTTACAAGTTGGAACATGGATTAATTAGGCAGAAACAAAGTCCTAACCTCCTGTCTTACACATTTTCCCCCTTTGATCTAATTTAGACACACTAATTCTCAAAACCAGCTTTATTCAATTGTTTCTACATCCTTATTCTTTGAAAAAAGTCAGTAAAATGAAACTACTAAACTGTTTTCCCTTAAATTTAATATGCTATTCATTTACACATTTCTATATATAACTAAAACTGAATCAAAGAAGAAAATATTACACTGTCAATGGCCTATTTCTTGGGATGGATTTACTAGGTAAAGTGAAGAAATAACTTGTTTTCGCACCACAGTTTAGACTTTTAAACTCTTTTCTCAAGTAATTCTTTGAATAGCTGTAATCCCAGGTACTAAGTGATTGAGGCAGAAGGATCACAAGTTCTAGGCTAGTTCAAACAATTTAGTGAGGTTCTATTTCAAAATAAAAAATAAAAAAAGGGATGTAGCTTGTTGATATAGTATCCTTGTGTTCAATCCCCAGCATCAAAAGCTAAATAAATAAATAAAAGCAAAAATAAAACTTCTTGCATTGGTCTTATAGCTAATATCTTAGGCATATCCCAGGAGTTAAGTTTTTAAAGTGTTAGAAAGTGCACCCTAATAAAAATTAAAACAAGCATCTCACAAACAATAATAAGTTCCTCTCCTTTCCCTACCCCAGGCATAGTAGGCTAAGTAGCCAGCTGTGATGAAGAAAGGCTTGATCTGTTCTTTCATTTTTCTGTGCTCTGTACCCTCCACCAATGCACTGGGCTTTTCCTGCTCTTGCTGCCCGGAGGTTAGAAAGAAAATGAGAAATGGCTGGTGGAGGTCTCTTTTGGCTATCAAGGCTGTCTCAGGATTGCATTAGAGTTCTCTTCCTAGACATAGATGCTGTGACTGACACCATCCCTACAGTAAAAGAGGACACCAACCATGGGCTATACTGATGCTATAAAAAAAGAAAACCGCATTTAAACAGGCTTTATATATAAAGTAACAAAGAAGAGAAAGCCTCAATGGAGTAAGACTGAAGCTACAGACAGAAGGAAAGAATTAAAGTGGAAATTTCTGATTGATAGAACTAAATCTTCAAAAAGGATGAGAAAAGGTGAGTCGAAAAAAAAAAAGAAAAAAAAAATCCCCCTTCATCATCTTGTTTTTATTCCAGAGCATCACCACCAGATACTTTTGTCTTTCTCCTTGGTAATATCCACTGGAAACTGCCATGAACCTCTTCCTAGAGATGCTCTTTTCATTGCACCTCTGCTGTTATATCCAAAAGAAAAGGATGTCCACATAAGATGCCTTAAGCTCACCCTACTCTGCCTCCCGGTTCCAGTCTTCCTCATAACTAGTAACTATGTGTGTTCAGATTCTGCAAAAGGTCAGCCATCACACCTCGCTGTGAATTGCACATGAAGCCTGATGGCTAACATTAATGGAATGCCTATCAAGAGCCAAGGGCAACCCTGGTCTGGCCAGTGCCTGTTTGAGGGGCTTCATCATTTGTCTCATAGGAACAGGAAACAAAGAAATACTCGGACATGATTGTTGATTCCTTCTGACTACATCCTCAAACCTTTTTCACTGCTTCCAAAATGGAAGGATAGACTTGAAGAGAATATTCAAACAAGTATCTCGTGTTTCAAAACATTGGGATACTAAGGGATTTCAGAAAGTGATTCTGGGAACTTTTTCTGAACTTCCTTTATTTGACAATGAATGTAAAGGGATTGTTTTTAAAATAACAGTGGAAATTGATAGAAACCTTTAGAAATGGTACACTTGCCAACTTTTAAAATATGTAGTGAATTACGCTTGCAGTTTCACTTCAAGGAAAGGTCATATATAAATAGAAGATAATGTCATAACCGATGGCCTGCGGAGGCCATACTTCCTCATTGTATCATTTTCATTACTTGAATAAGAATTTCAATCTTTCCTAGCAATAAGAAAACAAATGTTTCCAATTACATTTTGAAAAAGCAATGGATTTTACCCTTTGAATTACATTTGGATTCATGAAGCATTTATTACAGGGAGTCTTTTTGAAAAGATAAATAATATATTAATGTTAATGGATATAGGAATTTCAGAAATCTACACTAACCACAATTGAAACTGCAAATTCAATGAATTATCCAGAAGATGCATGCCCCAGCTCTTAAGTTAGAGACCTTTAATTACATATATAAATGTTTTATGAACTCCTTTTACCATGTCTTTTAAGCTAGCACAGACTCCAGTGACAGAAGAATAACAGGGGACCACTCAGGTCATCAAATTTTCTCATTCACATTTTACTAAGTTACTCTCCATGTTATACCATTTTAACATTCCCTGCTGTATTTTTTGGATGTGCATTTTCATGGTACTTAAATTTTATTCAGAAGAATATTTACTGAGTATACTAAATTTTATCTCATTAGATTAAAAGAACATATATATTATATATAAATGCAAAAGCTTTTATCATGAATATATAAAATATATACTCTTAGCCAAACTTAGCTAAAATGTTAGTATCCAGGTGGCTTGGCGCCCTAAACATTCTGATTTTTTTTAAAAGTCTTCTCATATTTATCAATATTATCTAAACTTGTCTAAGTCCCACTGTCAACCTAAAACATGAGAGTTTTGGTTAATCACAATACAGTGCACTCTCAGTGTAGTCTAGTTTTCACTTAATGAATTAATTTTTATGCAAATTTAACCTTTAAAGGAGCTATAAACAGTTGTATTCAGGTTACATCTGCATAACATTTATTTCCTAAATGGTTTAAGAGTAGAGGGGTAGGAAAAAACCCTATTTTATTTTCAGTAATTAAAATGCCCCAAACATTTCATGTCAGGCTTACTAAATTTCTCCAGAGTGCTTATCTATTTGTTTTGTCTATACTCCAGATGCCTGATTAGGGCATGGGTCTGATCCCCTTCAGTGAATATTCAGGAAAAAAACTAACAAATAAGAATTCTGCTAAATGGACCGATACTAATGGGTCAAACCCCTGATAGAATATGCCAATGCCTTACCTAAATAGACTCCAAGGAATGTGACATTAAAATCTACCAGAGAGCTTTTATATAAACAAGATTATATAAGAGAGTAAAAGGTTTGTAAATAATTTAGGTTTAAGTATCTTAATTTCCCTGAGTCCTAGTCACTGAGGACAGAGGACAGACTTGTTTTGAATGTGTTTGTGTGTTTGGTGTTGGTAAAAGAAGAAGAAGAAAAAAATAATCGAAAGTGATTAATTCAACTTAGAAATATCAGAAATACAAAATATAGATTAACCTTTCTTACTGTTTTGAGAGTGACATTGCAATCTGCTCTGGGGGACAGCCCACCACAGAACCTGGCATAAGATGGACACTTGACAAAAGTTTCCTGAAATAATTAATTACCTAGTGCTGGGGCCCAGGGGAATGGACACTGACCACAGACACATGTATACATATG